TGCAGAGGAGGACGAGCTGACCCTGTCCCAGACCCTGGACCAGCTCCTGTCCAGGGACATGGTCCAGGTGGAGCTCATCCCAGAGAAGAAGGGACTGTTCCTCAAACATGTGGAGTACCAAGTCACCAGCCAGGCATGTACCGCTCTATAATGTAGTCAATGTAAAGATGTGTGGAGTTTTTGAGCCATTGTTGTTTAAAGGGGCCTATATTATGCTATTTTATTATCTATGTTAGAGTGCTGTTTCCTCATCACAAACATACCTGGAGTTTTGTTCTGTTTCATTCACACGTTTAACACACAAACCCTGCAGATTTAGGCCGAGTTCTTCTCTGAAACTGCAAACTCTCTGTTCCACCTTGTGATGTCAAACTCCATACACCTTCACTAGAATAATTTGGAAGTTTCAGTATTTGAATTGCCAACACTGAACTCAAGGTATAAGGTAGATGTTAACTTGAAAACTACCATTACATGACATTGCAAGGGGAAACGGAGCATTTTGAGCTTTGGAGATGTAGACAGACTAATAACAGAAGATTATTCAAATATGTGAATGAAACAAAACAAAACTTCAGGTATGCTTTTGAGGAGATTTTGTATTCTGTGGAGATGTTATTGTTTTACCTGAAATGTTTCACAGTATGGCATTAAATGTATCTATTATACATTTGTTGAATTACAGATGTTTTCACTTCTATAAAGACATGCAGAATTACTGTGACTGGGTTAGCCTCTACACAGATCTCACCTGTAACTTGAAACACAACCTGCTTGTCTCCATGGAGATAGATATGTTTATGCTGTCTGTGCTAGATTCCAGACAAATCAATAACATCTCTGTGATCTCAGAAGCTTAACAAGACCAGGCCTGGTTAGTACTTGGATGGGAGACTGCTGGGAAGTACCAAGCATGGAGTGAATGATTCAATAATCCACCGTAAAGTGCTTTGGGTGTCTTAAAAGGCACTATAAATCCAATGATTAATTAATGAATTATTCTCTTAGGTGTTGTACACGACCAGAAGAGTTACATAGTGTACCTTTAACATTAATTAAGCAAGCATAAAATTGATCATAAGGTTTTAAGTCGTTAAGTAAGTTTTTCTGTAGCTAATTTTTAAGACTTTTGTCACACATTTTTTTACTCGCCTAATTTAATCCTGTTTTGATCTTGGTTCAGTGTTTGTAAGATTGACTACTAACACAGTTCCAGTTTAATTTGACTGAATTTTTAGTATCCAAAAAGTATATTAAAGCACAGCAATCTTGATATAGTGTTATGTATAATGTTTCATAATATGGGATTTTACATGGCTTACTTCATACAGCTTGTTCAAGTGCTACAGAAAAAAAGTTTGACCAGTCTTTAATTACTGCATTTATTCTGCATTAATAGTCTAATGAGTTTTTTTTTTTTCTTTCACAGCGTTATAAAATATCAGTTTATCGACGATACAGTGATTTTGACGTCTTCCATGAAGTTTTGCTGCAGAGATTTGCATACAGAGTCGTACCAGCGCTTCCTCCAAAACGAATGCTGAAAGGAGGTGGGCTTTGTTAACAGTAATTATTTTCCATGTGACATAAACAACATTAGTTAAGTCATTGTCTGTGTAAATGCTTGGCCCAGAAGGTGTTATTGTTTTACACAGTTATTTCAGTTCATTCATTTACTGCCTGAAAGAAACAAGGGAGCTAGTGGTGTGGAAAATAGGTCCATTGGAGCTCACAATGACTTACTGTTTCATAATGTCCGTGCAGATTTCTGTGTAAAGGATTTGACCTCAAGATGTGTTCATTTGTGCAATATTATTTCTAAAGTTGCACAATCCTACAATGAGGTGAAAGTCATGAGGTTGTGAGTTGGTGGTAAAATACTTGAAATGTCAAAGTAGCCTTAACTCTTTTACTAGAGAAAATATCCTGTTTAATACTGTAACTAGAATACTGTCAGCGAATAGGACTTGGCTTCATTCACTGTCCTGGTTTGCTCCCAGCTTAGTTCTGATCTAGATTTGGTTTCGTCCTTTTCCATTGCTGTTTTAGTCATAGTTTTCGTTAAGATTGTTTGTGTATTAAAGGTTGTATAGAGGATTTTCCAAGGAACGAGAAATCCAGCGACTGTTTTTCCTTTTTCAAATGTTGCGCATGCGTGAAACCACCCCCCCTCCCCTACAGCTCCCTACGTAGAAACGCCTCCTCCCGCCTCCTCTTACGGCAGAAACAGGTTTGTTTACAGCCGGTGCGCTGCACATGACTTGTAAACAACTAACTACAGTGTTGGTTAGGCAAGGCGGAGAAGTGAGGAGCGGGGGGAGTGGGTGTGCGGACATTTCGTGCGCGGACGAGAAGTGAGGAGCAGGGAGAAGAGCGGAGCAGGGAAGAGGAGAGAGGAGAGGAGAGAGGAGAGGGGAGCGGTGCACGGAGATTCCGTGCCCGGAGAAGTGAGGAGCAGGGGGAAGAGCGGAACGGGCAGCGGGGACAGGAGCAGGAAAGGGTGCAGAGAGGGGGCGCAGAGATTCAGTGCGAATGAACTAGCTACAACACGCAGCAGCAAGAGGACTCTTTCTTTGCCTTGAAAATTACGTTTTCAGACATAGGATATCGCTTTCGTGTCCTGAAAAACGTTTGTCTAGCTCTTGGAAATAAAGTACGTTTTCATAATAAGCAGAAGTTTCCTGTCCAGGAGTAATTTGGCGACCAATGCGTCAGTCTTTAGACCCTGCGTCTGCTTCAGTTGCGCCATCGCTGGAATGAATCTTCAAGAATCACCTTAGTTTGGCTTCGCTGCTTTTCCCCTTGTCTTCTTCTTTCAGCGACCTCAAAAAAACGGACTTTCTTTTGCGGCTAACTGCTCCTGGATTCTTGTCGCCATTGCAACAAACTTTGTGCTAACTGCGAGGAAGATATAGGTAAAAAAAAAGCCGCTAAGAACTGTTGCGTTGGTGGAGTAAACGGCGTCTGTGCGTGCGTCTGTGGACTGCGTGACAGGCGTACGCAAACCACATAACGGCAGCGAGCAGGCAAGTCAGTTACGCTAGAAACGTAGGGAGTTTGATTGACAGCCTGTCAGCTAACAGATAACGAGGCAGTGTCATTATCTATTGGCAAATGTTTAGCTGGCCCCACCACGTCCAGAGTTGATGAATTTTTATTCTCTTTTTTTTGGTCATCATAATTACAAGGCTACTGCACCTCTATAATGCTATCATTGACAACTTGAAACAAAAAAAATCCTCCATACAACCTTTAAGTCCCTGTTCAGTCCCAATTAGGATGTGGTGTGTATTATGTAATATGCAACTTAAAGGGCCCATATTACACCATTGATGTTGTAACGTTGTTTTCTGGAGTTGTGTTTTGTTTCATTCTCACACGTTTAACACGCAAATCTTCATATCTTCATCATATTTACGCTGAGTTCTTCTCTCAAATGGAAAACATGCGATAAAACAGGAAGTGCTCCACTGATTTTTAAACTCCATACACTTTCCCTAGAATCATTTGGATAATTTCAGCTCTGGAATTGCCCATCTGTACTGAACTAACTTGAAATGTACCATTACATAACATCAGAAGGTGCAACAAAGCATTTAGAGCTTTGGAATGTGAATGAAAACAAAGCACAACTCCGGGTATGTTTTTGATGAGTTAACAACATTATAACGTGGCTTAAAGCTCACAAGAGTCAATTTTATGTAATATAGGACCTTTAAAGTATGTTAAAGGTGCACTATATGTAACTTTTCTGTTGGCGGATCATTATATGGCATTATAGATATTTTGTATTTTTTTAATTGCACGTTTTTATTATTTATGTGAGCAGGGTCACCTCTTCACAGATCTGACATGTAACTTGTCACTTTTTTGTGGCAAAGAAATAACTAAACTAATACTGTAACTAAATAATTTCCATGGAGACAACCAGTTGGTGAACCCTCTAGCATAAAAGTTACATAGTGCTTCTTTAACTGTTATACACATACAGATACATCTACTGTACATGAGCAAAAAGTTACAACCAAAAATATAGATACAAAAACGATATGCTGAATTAAAGGCTCACTAAGCTGAAAAATATCTGCTTGTGACCCCAGGAAGTACAGATATCCTTCCAGATTTTGTTTACATCCAGTTCTGTTCACCATTTGCCCCTTTAAAAACTTTGCTAAACTTCTTCGTCTAACCTTGGATCAGGTCGATAAACCCAATAAACTACCATCACCTTTAAGATATATCTAGACCGACAGGCTGTTACATTTTTCAGTTTGTCTGCTGTGTTTGTACAGTTTTGACCTCCATCTCCGAGCGTGAGTTTATTGAAGGCCGGAGACGTGCCCTGGGCAGGTTTATTAACTTAGTCGCTCGTCATCCTTTCTTCTCCCAGGACGAGCTGGTCAAAACCTTCCTCACCTTCAGTGGCACCGTATGTGACTTTTGTTTATTTTTCTGACCATTATCTTTAAACCAAAATGAAACCTCCTGTCCCAAATATAACTTAACACTAACCCCTATTCGCCCATGTTTTTTTTTTTACCAGGACGTCCAGACCAAGCTGAGAGAAGCTTACAAAAAAACAGGGGATGAGTTTATGACCAACAGGATCGCAACACAGGCAAAGGTAAGGTGACATATGTGCAATAATGTTACAGTTTATTTAACTAATGGATAGTAATTAGGATGAAAATAATATGGTATATACAGTCTGGTAATCTTCTATATTCTGTGAGAATCCAAAAGAACCTAGAGCTGGACAATAAAGAGAGAAAATTCTCTGTCCAAACTTGAGACGGTCCAACCACAGCTGCAAATCTGTATCACATGTCTCTCAAAGACATCTCCTCTCAAATTCTTGTACCATTCAGAACAAATTATATAACTTCTTTTACCTGAGATAGTTTGGTGTTTGGATTGTTTATTCTGTACAAATCTTCTTTCTGTCCTTCATATTTTTCTTTCTCCTTTTTAAATATAAATTGTCATGTTAGTTTTTGCCATGCACAGAGCATGTGTCTCTGATTGGTTAATCCGCCTGTCAAAAATACAGAACTTTTAAAGTTTTCAGCTTGTCTCCATGGAGATGTTACAGTATGGCATATTTATTATACAGCTGCTATTGCTAAAAATACTTTTAAAACAACAGTCCTTGTGGGGGGGGCTCACTTCTCCACAGATCTGACCCGTAATTTAGTTTGGTGGAGTCACCCGTTTGTCCTCAGAGAGTTTAATGCCATGTTGTGGAACATTCTAGGCAAAGCAGTAGTGTCTGCAATGGAATCATGCAGGTGCATCTTTAAATTTGAATAGTATATAATGTAATAAGGATAAATGTTAGGTAATACATATTATTTATACACTCTCAACTCAAAATTTTGTCTTGTGTCTCAGCACTGTATGTAGTGTTTTGCTTACTATTTAACTAGTCCAAGTTAATTAAGTTTCTTCTCTTTTTAATTAGTTGATTTCTCACACAGGGGAGTTGATGATCCATTTCTTCTTAAACTTTCCACTAAAGTTTCTCATTTCCTCTGTCAGGAGTATCTCCCGGCTGACATCCAGGCCCAGTTCTCCACCAGTCGAGAACTCATTAGAAACATTCACAACAGTTTCTTTAAACTTCGCGACCGCGCTGAGAAGATGGCGGAGCGCTCAAAGGAAAACGCCACTGATCTGCTTTTGTTTGGCAAGGAGCTCAGGTATTTCATCACTGCAAACACTGTCAAACTGTAGGTTTTTGGGCTATGAAAAATCATCTCTAGGGGACTCAGCCTCCCCCCGGTGTGCTGTTGTCTCCAATGGCTGCTTGACTTTGGGGATTTGGGAGTTTTGGCAGTTTAGACACAGCAATATTGCCTTCTGTCTTTTGCAGTAATCTAGGCTCAGATTCTTCGACTATTCCCTGCTTTGCGTCGTCCCAAAGTAGCTGGGGGGCGCTGCGTCAGTCCCTGAAGAGTTTGTCTGTGGAGTTTGCAGTGCTGTCGGACAAAGCTGCTCAGCAAGTAAATAACCTCCTCTCTCAAAGCACAGCACCTGTTTTCAGATGCAATGTCCAAATCTGGAGCTCAGGGATAAAATGTCTTTGTATTCGTGATGTCTTCAGGGGAGACGGGAAGAGGATGATGTGGTGGAAAGATTAAACCTGTTCCTGGATTTGCTGCAGTCCTACAAGGTTTGTTTCACCTCAAACAGTGTTAGTCATTGCATTTGCATACATGTGCCCTGATGAAATAATGAGCAGTTCTGCACCAATTTAAGGCCTCATTTGCAAGAGATTTTGGAAAAGTTCTTATCTAATTGTCTATATTCTCAAACTGATTATTTCAAGATATAATTTAAGAATTATGACACTGCATTTTATTTTAATTTTTTTAAAGTGAAAACGGTTTAAATTATCCATATTGTGCCATTTTCTGATTGTTATAAGGTTTCCTCATCAAAAACATACCTGCAGTTGTGTTTTATTTCATTCACACATGTTTAACACACAAATCCTGCATGTTTAGGCTAAACTGTCCATACACCTTTACTAGAATTATTTGATAATTGCAACAAAACAAAGGGTAAAAGGTAGTTGTTAACTTAAACTACCAACTCGTGACATTACAAGGTGGAACAGAGCATTTTGATGTGGTGTGTTCACTAAAATTAACTTAATTAATTTACCTTAACAACAATACAGATAAAGTGCTGTGTCTTTGAGTCTGGCCTTGTGTGTCTGTAGGATCTGTGTGAGCGGCATGAGAAAGGTGTACTCCATGAACACCAGAGGGCGCTGCACAAATACGGGATGATGAAGAGGCAGATGATGAGCGCCACAGTTCAGCCCAAAGAGCAGGCGTCAGTGGAGCAGCTGGAGTCCAGGATAGTGCAGGTATGAAAGCATAAATCTACAAAACAGTGACACCAAAAATATTACTTATCATGTTTGTGCTATTATCTCCTTCTGTGACTGGAAATGAATGAACTGCTTTTGACAAACTCTGATTATAATTTACAAGTTTAGACTGATTTAAAAAAAAATCAATACTCCTCAATACAAAACTGAATTGACAAAATGTGCATCATTTTTCCTTGGCTTCAATATACAACAACAAACTTGACATTGACTGCAGATTTAACCAGTTCTGGGTCAGCTGTGCCTTATGCTTTTCTATTACAGCACAGTTCTGAAAAATACAAAATAAGTGTAGTGTTTTTTGTATCTTGTCAAGGTATAACACATAATGATGCAAAACCGTGCAAATACTATTCCTGACATGAAAAGTGTTTTTCCAAGCTGTTTTATTAGTATTTTTGTTTAAAATATGTTAAACCTCAGCCTTTTCTGCAAGTCTCAAACAATCATAAGAAAATACTTTTACTTTTCAATCTTGTTAAAAAATGTAATGGAGTAGAAAGTACTTTAATACTTAAAAATCTACTTAAGAACTTTGTTATGTTCCACCACTGAGTAGTTCACATAAGCTTTTCTATATTGCACCACAATAAAAAACAAACAACTATATATTTTTGTCTCTTTTTCACAGCAAGAAAATGCCATTCAGACAATGGAGCTGCGTAACTACTTTTCCCTCTTTTGCCTTCATCAAGAAACACAGCTTATCTTCTCCTATCTCCCAATCACGTCCCACATCCTCGGTGCCTTTGTTAACTCACAGGTCCAAGGACACAGAGAGGTGAGGAACAATCTCTACTGCACTTTCCTCTGATTCACTAACTTTGTCCCTCTCCTGGATTTTAAAAGCGTTTTAAATTGTTTCTGTAAAGTCAAACAAAGACCTAATAAAGATGAAGGATATTGCGGAAAAGATAATCTATATTTGATCTAAGATTTCAGACAGCTTACGTTTCACAGTTGGCAAAACCCAGATACAGACCTTTTCACGTTTAAACATCAATTCTCACAGGACATAATGAATTTCTGCTTGGCTTTATCTTTATTCAAATTTTCTCTTCAAAGTTTTGTTGATAAAAATAACTTCTTTTTTTCCAGATGGGAGAAGTGTGGACAGAACTCCAACCTAAACTTGGATGTCTCTTTGGTCGTAGCAATGGAGTAAAGCTGCCTGTTTAAAGACACTATCACCAATAAAAACAAGCTGCTCAAGTATCTGTATAATGCTGAATTAAGAAAACTGCAAATTGAAAAGCTTATAATATATGTAACCAATGTAAAACCTTTCTATGCCGACAGTGCACAAGTGAACAGAATCATATTTATGCTCTGCTGAAATAATTTTCTTATCAAAAAGAAAGCTATACTCTATATAATTATCACACACAACACTCCTACATTTTCTGCTTTTTATAAAATATAATACACTTTAAGAGACACTAAGCTGAGACAAAATGATCAATGCATTGTTAGAAAAATACATAAATGCGCCACTATTTTTGTAAACAGGAAGTACATATTTATGGTTTTTAGACAATGTTTTTGCCTAATCTTGACAGTGCTTTGTTGCATTAATGTTACCTGCATTGTGTTTGGTATGACAAAAAGAGCTTGTCACTATGATGATTATAACACTATAAAAACCAAAGACAGCTTCAGTATTTGTACATTTGTAGATCAGCGAATCAAACCCATGGAAAATATGTTTACTTGTTATAAACTTTGTCAGACAAAGTAAGCACCACTACACAGGAGTAAGAGTAAGAACAGTTTGTATTTTAAAACAAATCATATCTGTATGCATGTAGTGGGAATTCAAATGAAGAAATATAAAAGTAATTCACACTTTGGTAAATATGCTGGAATTTTTTAACAGAACAATTTATAAAACATTTCAGTGTACATAATGTAAATACTGTGTATTTAAACCTCTTGCCAAACGCATTTTCTCAGTTTTTAATAAATGATTAAAATCATTGAACCTAATATCGTTGTGCACCATGGTTTTTCATACAAGGAACTTTTCTAACACATTTACATGCACACCTTTGAGTAGACGTGTCACGATAAATACTATATTGACTTTTTGGCAGTCAGTGATTTTTGGGTTTACATTATCTTTGCACTACTGGGAAATTTTATTTTTTGGTTATATGATCAGATTTAAGATGTAAAAGGTTGAATTAATAACTTGTATGACTCATTACAGATGCAAACCAAGTACTGTGTGTCATTCTGCTGTTTATTTATGGCAGCTCATGCTTTATTAAAAATATTGCACATTTAGAATAGTTTTTGTGGTTTAAAACTGCTCTTGAGTTATTGTGTCAATGGCATAAATTCATTTCAGTATTATCTGTTATCGTCTACACTTCAAACTTAAACATATTTTATCGTGACAGGCCGACCTTTGAAACCACAGTGGTGCAATGAACAAGTGTCCACTCGCCTGGTTTTAACCCCTCTGAAACTCAATTTGCCAAACTTATCCCAAGTATTATTTTTATATGATTGATTATGTAGTACACATGGCTGCCATGTTTCAGCCTGTCTGTCCCAGAGGAGTTGTGATTACAGTAGTGTGATTGAGGAGAGAATGAAAATGTACAATACAAAAGCGGTTACAGTAACAGTATCAAACAGTACCATGAATTGAGTCTACATTTCCTCATAGTCTGTTCTCTCAGTTCATTTGAGCTCTTTGACCTCCTCCAGTGTGTGGCTCAGGATCTCTTCATGGCCCTTAAATTTAAAGTACCCCACAAACTTCTTCTTCTGCAGCATCATAGGAAACCACAGGATGTCATCGGCCCACATCTGACTAAAGGGGATTTGGTCCATTTGAAACCACTGGGGCCTCATCTCTGAAAACATAACGCATTACAAGATCAGACACACTCTACATCATGCTCAAAAGTGCTCTGTGTCACTTTTCTGGTGCAGAGTCTGCCCACTCTTCTCCATGGAGAAGTTACCACTTTGCCTGGAATATTCCACAGTATGGTATCTAGGGCTGTCACGATAACTACTATATTGACTTATCGTTAAATACATAAAAGATGATCAATATTTACTGTGGGTACTTTCTCTTTGTACCATTAGGAAATTTTTGTATATTTTTCTGCACTATGATTAGATTTAAGCTGTAGACTACTGAATTATGAACGCATTATAGATACAAACTAACTGTGCAACTTTTGCATTTTGTTACTTACTGGAGTTTGTGTTGTTTTTTTTTTTGCAATATCATACTTAAGAACACTTTCGGGGGATAATTCTGCTTTATCTTTTGGTTTCAATATTATTGTTTATCTTCTATATTTACTTCAGCAATATAAGGCACTTCAAAATTTCTTATCGTGACAGGCCTAATGGTATCTATCTAGTTGATGACATCAGGCCAAGTTACAAGTCAGATCTATGAAGAGGCAACCCTGCTCACATTGTATTTTAGAGATAAGGTATTTTAACATGTGAAATGTTATAAATGCAAAATAGATAACATTAATATATAAAATACTTTACATTTAGGTTTACTTTTTTAGACTATAGTTGAAAAAAAAAAAGACGTCAAAGCCCGATTTTTTTTCCCTCACAAACAAAGCAGGGGTGGGCCTGGTTAGGACTTGGAGTTGGGGAGACTGCTGGGAATATCAGGTGCCACAGTTGTGCATCGGCGGCTGCTGATGTGTCCTTAAGCAAAACATGTCAACCATATTGCCTAGTATGAATATGTGTATGGTGTGTGTAAGTGTTGGTGGTGATCAGAGGGGCCAATGGTGAAGTCGCTTCTTCAAGTCTACCCCAGTACAGCTATGTATAAGACTAATGCATTATAATTATTTTCATTAAAAACATTTTAAAAATGCCATTGTTCATTATTTTATGATTACATTGTGCCCTTTCACGATTATCAATCTGTGGACTGTTGCTGCAGAGGTCTGGTCCTGTACTACTGTGTGATTCTCACCCTCTGATTCTGTTGGTTCTCCATTGTAGGTGTCGGCTCTGAACACGTGCACGTCCAGTAGCTGTGTTTCTCCCACAAATTCAAACTTGATATTTCCAATTTTCTCCAGAGCATCTACTGTCAAACCACTCTCCTCCTGCAGTTCTCTGAAAAAAGGGGGAAAAAAAAAAACACTGAATCAATATTTCATAAACTATCGTACTTTAAGGATTAGCCACACTAGAAGTATCAGAGCCACTAAAAGCTGCTAAAATTGACATCGTAGTATTGACTTAAGGCATGTATACTTTAAGTTTTCACTTTTGCTGAAAATAGATAGCTTAGGTTGTTACATAAAAGATAAGATACTGGATGCTAATAATACAGAATACTTTGTTATTCTGAAACTTTGATGACATAACCTACACTTTCATGAAGAATTTATTATGGTTTAATTTTAGTCTAGTCTGTGTATAGTGGTAAACGCAGTAAGGACCAAAATAGGACAATAGCGATAGCAATTGAAAACAAAATATATATTTTTATAATGGTGAAAAGTCCTCAAGATTTTGCCTAAAACAGGAAGTTGAAACCCATAACTAGAGGAAAATCTTGTGAGCTTTACGCCAAGTTATGATGTTGTTACCTCCTCAACAACATACCTCGAGTTATGTTTTGTTTCATTCACACGTGTTTAAGTAATCCTTTATTAGTAGGCTGTCTACATCTCCAAATCTCAAAATGCTCTGTTCCACCTTGTGATGTCATAAAGTTGTAGTTTTCAAGTTAACAGCTATCTTTTGCCTTTAGTTCAGTAGAGATTGACAATTCCAGATCTGAAACCATTCAATTTTTGTGAAGGTGTATGGTGTTTAGAAACACAGTGGAGCAACTCCTGTATTATCACATTATCTCACAAGGTGGAACAGAGTTTATTCTGTTCGAGGGAAAATCTCAGCCTAAATATGCAGGGTTTGTGTGTTAAACATGTGGGAATGAAACAAAATGAAACTCCAGGTATGTTTTTGATGAGGAATCCACATTATAACAAAATTCAAATTATAGATTTTTGTCAGAAATTAGTGCAATATGGGCCCTTTAAAATTATGTTTAGAGCCACAGGGATAATTAGTAACTTTCACTTGTCTTCAGTTGCTCTTTGAAATTTGTTTTCCAACGGAAACAAAACAAGCTACATCCAATTCCTCTTGCATTGTCACTTGTGTTTGGTTGCATAACAAATAATTTTTTCTCATTTCTGCAGAGGAAAATAAGTGGATGTCCTGTGTCTTCAGGCTTCCCTCCACTCACTCCAAAACAAACAAACATCTGATGAGGAAGTGACCACACAACTCACATTTTAAATCATTTTTTCAGGCCAGATTTCAGTGTGACATCAGTTATACAACAGAGCCTTACACTTAAATGTGCACTGTGCAACATTTACGGTGAAGGGTCCACTACCTACTTGTCTCCATGGAGATGTCATTACTTTGTCTGAAATGTTCCATGGTGTGACTTTTTTCCCCATGGAGATATCAGGTGGCAGACTCTCAACTGGAAATGTTACGAAGTGCACCTTTAAGACTTCCTTTCGCTCTAAAACAAACTAACATCTGATGTCACAGTGTAAATGATTAATTCAGATCTGCTCTACCACTGAACTATTCTTGATGTTTTTACAAATAGAGTAAGAAACATCCAGTAGTACCTTCTGGCAGCTTCCTCAATGCTCTCTCCAGGTTGAACTTTGCCTCCAAACCCGTTCCACTTGCCCGCCCCGAAGCCCCTCTTCTTCATCCCCAGCAGCACCCTGCCCGGCTGCACCACCAGCACCAGGGTCAGCAGCTTCGGGCTCAGCATCCTGCGACTGCAATACAACCACAGACTGTAGAATACAACCCAGCACAGAGCACAAGAGGAGGCTATTCGTGTGCTCTGGAGGTCCGATCAGTCTGATGTGCTAAGATAAGCGGTGTATTGGATTTAAAGACTGAAAAGTCAAGACAAATATTGCAAACACCTCGTGGGTTCACCGCTCGCGCCAACGTCATCTGAGGAGGTGTGGACAAAATGGGACAATTCCGGTTTATTTGGGCATCAAAATGTAGCCTACGTGTTTCACAAGTCGAGCCGACATAGAACAGATTAGGTATTCAAACTTGTTGAAAAACTAGTTGTTAACTAAATTGCCTAATTTATTAGGTAAAGTAATCTAACTAAGAGGAACTACTTATGCTCTGTTTTAAGGGGAGCGCGTTGAGTGTTACACAGCTTGGTCATCCAATGAGGAGCACGCTTTATGCGCAGGCGCAGAGACCAGCGGTGTGTTTCGGTTTCACGCGTGGATCTCGATCACGTTTTCCACAATGTCAACACTGAGGGGCATGTTTCTGTACAGTGCGCTCCACACCTCAGCACGTGTCCTGAAGAAGGTAAAGACGAGGACCGCGGCGGAGCACCGCTGGCTCCAGCGGCAGCTCAAAGATCCTTATGTTAAAGCTTCGCACAACCAAAACTATCGGTGCAGAAGCGCCTTCAAACTCCTGGAGATAGATGACAAGTTCAGGCTCCTACAGCCCGGACATGCAGTGGTGGACTGTGGAGCTGCGCCCGGAGCCTGGAGTCAGGTGGCGGTGCAGAGGGTCAACTCCGCCGGGGCAGGTGAGGAGAGGATGGAGAAGTCACAAATGTGTTTTAGGAACATTATTATGCATTTAATATTCCTGTGGGTCTATTTTTTCCCCCAATACCCTAATTTTATTGAAACGGGCACAAGAAATTGTTACGATCCTTTCTGTTGATATTGTAAGAAACTACATTAAGAGAGCTGGCCATAAAGCACACTTTATGGTGGTACAGCGCAGTCTGCTTGCCTTGTAGACTCTTGGCAGCAGTCCCCACAATGTAATGGATAATGCACAGACACTGGCCAAGGCCAAAAATGGACTTTATGAAACTAAGCCAAGAATGTTGCATATATTTTCAATCAGATCCACTTAACCTGCAATATATTAAAAGGACATTTATGCATTAGGTAAAGCCTGATGCGTATTAAATCATAAAAAATAAACTTGCTGGTCTCACCGTGCACTATATGATGAAATAATGAATGCTTCCTCCTCTGTTTTAGATCCTACTGCTCCCCGTGGGACTGTGGTGGGGGTGGATTTGTTGAACATATCAGCTCTAGATGGTGCTCACTTCCTGTCCCATCATGACGTCACAGACCCCTCCACACACGCCAAACTGCAGCAGCTGTTACCCACTGGCCACGCTCATGTCCTCCTGAGTGACATGGCCCCAAATGCGAGTGGATTCAGGGAGCTGGACTGTGAGAAACTCATCTCTATGTGTCTGACATTGATAGACTTGGCAGAAAAGGTTTTACTGCCTGGAGGCTCTCTGCTGTGTAAATACTGGGATGGCCCCCTCACTCACTCACTTCAAGAAAAACTGTCCTGCGTCTTTGGGAGTGTGAGGACTGTGAAACCAAATGCAAGCCGAAAAGATTCATCTGAGAGATATTTCCTTGCTAGAATGTACAGAAAGCCAATCAAGAAAGTTTTGTAATGTATTTCTATGGAAAATGATTTGTGCTTTTTATTAATACTGCACTGTGCAACTTTTCTGGTATAGGGTTCATTACCTGCTTGTCTCTATGGAAATCACATTACTGGCCTGGAATGTTACGCAGTGTGACATCAAACTTATATCTCTAAGGAGACAAGTAGATCATGGCACCAGGACAAGCTACAGGTTAGTGGCTCTGTGGTGAAGAATGGATAAATATTTCTTAGTAATAAAAACACCTACCGCAAACCTGCCACTGCTGCCTTAAAAAAAAAAAAAAAAGTTGAATATTTTAAGTCACTGAAAATTGTCTCCAACAAGAATAAAAAAGCTTTAAAATGTATGATAACATGAAAGGTCCTTGCTATTCTCAATGAGTATTGTTGCCTTGTCAGTTTGTACCAATGTTTTGTTCTGTTTTTGCAATCTTTGACACTTATCCACTTTTCAGGGAGAATAATATTGAATGTAATATTTTGTATGTACTGATATTGTACATAAAACATCTGCAATTTTATGAATACAAGATATATGTTTACTGTGGAACAATCCTGGCAAAGCAATAACATTTCCATGAAGACAAGCAGTTGGCAGACACTCCAGCAGAGAAGTTGCGTAGTGAACTTTTAGGAGCAAGGTAATTTATAAAGTTAACCAAGAGGTGGCAGTGTTGAGGCATGGTTTAAGCCCAGTGCATTTGCCAGTCTGATTATATTGCACATACTGTATAAACCGGCCTGAATCAGTAACATCTAATATGTAAACTATATCATAATTTACTGTTGTTGTCTTCAAGGTGGTACGACTCAAAAGTGCAAAGCTTTCTGAAGTTATTGCTATTACCATGTGTTGCCTCAGTATTTTTTTACACAGTCACTTTGCCGTTCGTTTTGTTATAGAAAGTCATTAAGGAGTACTGTTTGCTAACAATATGCACCACCGACCATGTAGAAACGCAATCATTTCCTCATTGAGAACTTATGAAGAGAAACTTGATACATAAGTCTAACACAGACACACACTGCATGACTAATGGGAACTGGGAAGAGACTAAGGCCGGGCAGAGAGTGTATCGGCACTTTGGTCTCTCCCTTTCTCTTTTTTTCTCTCTTTGTCCTTCTCTACCTCCCTCTTTCTGTCTCTCTCTCTCTCTCTCTCTGTCTCTCTCCCTCCCTCTTTCTGTCTCTCCCTCCCTCTCTCTGCCCCCCCTCCCCGTCTCTGTCTCTCTCACTCCATCTGCCTGTCTCTCTCTCTCTGATTCTTCTTTGTGTGCATGTCTCTCTCTCACTCTTTCTCTCTGTCCCTCTCCATCTCTTTCTCACTCTTTCTCTCTGTCTCCCCTTCTCTCCCTCCCCCTCCCTGTCTCTCTCACTGTCTCTCTCTCTGATTCTCCTTTGTGTGCATATCTCTCTCTCTCCCTCTTTCTCTTTCTTTGTCTCCCTCTTCCCCCTCTCTTCATTCCCCTCTGTCACTCTTTCTCTGTCTCTCTCTCCCTCCCTCTGTCTCTGTTTCTCTGTCTCTCATTCCCTCTCCCTCTCTCTCTCTGTCTGTCTCTCTCTCCCTCCCTCTGTCTCTGTTTCTCTCTGTCTGTCTCTCATTCCCTCTCCCTGTCTTTCTCTCTCTTTGTCTCTTTCTCTCTGATTCTCTCTGTGTCTCTCTCCTTCCCTCTCTTTCTGTCTCTATTCCTCTCTCTCTCACCCTTTCTCTCTGGCTCTCTCTTTCTCTGTGTGTCCTCCTCCCTCCTTCTGTGTTTCTCTCCATCTGTCTCTGTCTCTCCCTCCCTCTGTGTTCACCCTCTATCTCTGTCTCTCCTTCTCCCTCACTCCCTCTCTCTGTCTTGCTCTCTTTCTCTCTCTGTTTTTTTTTTTTCTCTGCCCCTCCCCATCTCTGTCTTTCTTTCTCTTTCTCTCTCTCTGTCTCTGGCACCCTCTCCATCTCTGTCTCTCCCCCTCTTCCTCTCCCACCCCCTGTCTTTTCCTCTCTCTCTCTCTTCCCATTACTTAGACCATTAACAACAGCCAATGCACAAACTATTTCCAAGACTCTACTCTTAATTGGTGTCTTGCTAATATTCGGTCAGGCAAGTCTGGTAAGGGAGATGTCAATAAAGCAGAATATTGTGGAAAAGTTAGTTTATTTCACCAGTATAAATTTAAGAATTGGTACATTTTATCATTTCTGCACTGAAAAAGCAGCCATAACAGTTTATAAACCAACTCTGCTCAATGAAAGAGGCATATTTTGATTGCACTAATTCAAATATTTTTAAAGTCTCACTATGTAACATTGTGGTGGTGAAGTCAAGTACTTCCAAGGAAAGTTAAAATCACACTTGGAACATTCTCTGTGGAGATAGAAGTTTTAAGCCATACTGTGTAATAGAATAGCCAATGACCACATTTCCACAGAAGCAAACAGAAGCAGTGGAATAATAAAAAAATGACACAAAAACAAAGGCAAATAGTTACATACTGAGGCTTTAAAGAGAACATTTATAACAGTGGATCTTCAGGAGCTTTCCATCATCATTAGCTTACTTGTTATGTTTTGTGTTTGTTGATTCATGCATAATTAACTAATCTTGCTTTTTCCTGCATTTGAGGCTTGAATGCTCAGAAAAAATCAGTTTTCACTTACCCCCTATCTCCGCCCAAGGCCCTGTACATAATTGTGATGAAGAAAATACTACAGAAATACAATTCTAATATCACATTACATATTAACGGATTGAAAATGCCACTCTGTATATATTATGTGTTTAACTTTTAAATTAAGCTGAACTGGAATAAATTAACCTTTCCCATTACATCCTGATATGTTCACCTTGTATTAATGGCATTGCATATTACTGTACGTCATAGAACCTGCACTGCATTTCAATAGACTTTTTATAATTGTTTCATAATTAAATCGCCTTGAGGTTTTATCATCGTTTTCGCCAATAATGTCCGTTATGCAATACATGAATGAGGAAACAGTCATTGACAGTCCTAATAAACTGCTGCAATTATCAATTAGATTATTGATAAATTAATTTTTCAGAACAGATTAATTCCAGAATAGTAATTAGACATTTTGTGATTTGCATATCTGTATATGAATCATAATACCTATAGACCCTTTAAAATCCCTTGTCATCAGAATGCTCAAAATGGGAAGCAGGTTTAATATATTTTCAATTAGTAACTGATTAACAGATCTAAATGCTAATGATTTTACGACATTATATAAAATCAAGTAATTATGAATTTCTAAGGTACAAATATTTGTTAATTTGCTTCTTTGTAGATGAAGCGATAAAATGAAGTGGGCTCAGCTTTTCTGTGAAGATTTGTCCAGTATTTGTTTTTTCAGTATTTTATTTTTCTAGTATTTTATATTTATTCCTTAAAAACGCTGGCCCCTAGTGGCGAGGAATATGAATTTATATTTTCTAATTCTTTCTAATGTAATTTATTTGCCCAATAAAGACATATGATTGATGGACTTGGGTAATAGCTTGTTATACGATATATGATGTATATTGTGTTATATGTTGTGTTGTGTGGACAGCTCCTGTGACTCACTTTTGGATTGGCCAACCAATCAGTGAGCAGAGGGTATATATATGAAAGTGGCACACAGAGAGAACCATGACCTGATGAAGATCCACTTATTGAAACATCATTTATTAAAGGCAGTTTGGGAGTAAGTGTGCAGGCTTTGTTCCACTTTCTATTAATCCCAGTTTTCCCACTGAAATCACATTATGCTACACTTCACTTTTACCTCCAGTTGCCTTCTTTTGTTTACACATTTTTAATAAAGGACCTATAATGTTTTTCTAGGGGTATATGGGAACCCACACAAACACATTTCTAAGCATCCGCTTACCATTTTGAGTGATGATTGATGTCTGTACTCTGAAACATGACCAGTGGTACGAAATGAGGAGGGACCCTTGGACTATTGTTTGGGGTGAATGGGTGCAGCCAGGCTTGTTGATGGAGCAGATACGAGTGTAAAATACGTGAACACATGAGTAATTTTACCCCTCATCACTTGTTGATTATTTTCTGTTTCAGTTTGTTAAATGGATTCAAATTACTGTGGGATTTATGGACATTTTTGTCTGGGTTGAGCGATATCCTGGCGCAGGTTTCTCGATGAATCATTCACAGGTTAATTCATTTCTGCGTGGCCAGCTGCAGGTTCAGATGTAAATATTTGTAAATCAGGGAAAAGGCTCCACATTTAAAACTGCAGGTACGGAGCCCAAACGCAGTAATTGCCTCCAATCCATTCTCTCTCTCACAGCCAGACCTGCTGCTTTCCAACAGACTAATCTCAACTCATGCACAAAAGATACACCTAATCATTGGACTTCATTTGATTGTGATAAAATTCAAATTCACTTTTCTGTTTTATCATCTCCTCCTCAATCCAGTTATAATGATGGCAAATGGAAGCTGAACTTGGACTTGCTCAGTTGTAGAATAACGTAATACATTTTAATATTTGGCAACAGAGACATTTTTATGTGTGTGTGTTTTTCTATGGTCCTGCCTCACATGTTTCAGATGAAGAAACCGCCCACAAATCTAAATGTAAATTTTTGCTTTGATTAGTGTGTGCTGTTGGTGTGTGCATGGGCAAATCATTTCATCTATGGCCTTTTTCGAAAACCCATTGGTGGTGATGATAGGGCTATAAGGAACCCAAACATTATACATTGGTTTATAAGGAAGTTTATAAGTTTCTACTTGGACAAGACACTTAACACACCTTGCCTATTGTATTTATATGGTATTGTATAAGCTCTGGCTTCAATAGTAGTTTACCATAAGTGTGCAGTGAACTAATAATGCATTGTGAAGTGTCCAAAAAGCACTACATACATCAAATACATGATATTAATGTTTAAAGGGCCCATATTACACTATTTTCTGTTGTTTCCTCATGAAAAACCTACCTGGAGTTGTGTTTTGTTTGCATATTTAGACTCAGTTCTTCTCTCAAACAGAAAACACTCATGTGGTAATAGAGAAAGAGCTCCACTGTGTTTTTAAACTCAGAATCATTTGGATAATTTCAAACCTGGAATTGCTTATCTCTGAACAAAAGGTAAAAGGTAGCTGTTAACTTGAAAACTACCACTACATGACATCACAAGGTGGAACAGAGCATTTGGAACTTTGGAGATGCAGACAGAATAATAATGAAGGCTTACTCAAACATGTGTGAATGCAACAAAACACAATTTGAAGTATGTTTTTGATGAGGTAACAACATTATAACATGGCTTAAAGCTTAGAAGAGTCAATGTTACATAATATATGACCTTTAAAATAGGTGGCATAGAAACCTTTTAAGAGTGGACATAATGACTACGACAAATTTAATATTACAACCCGCAGTATTATGATGAGTTCAAATTATAGTATCACTCCAACAAGCACATTCTGGACCAGGCTCCCACTTAATCCTACTCTATCTTAATAAAATAAACAAACATTGCTCTTTTATTAACGCCACAAACAGATGTCAATGGCAGGAAATTAAAGAATGCGTAATATCATTCTTCACCGCTGTACTATTCAATCCTGGGGCCGACCACAGATGCCAAAACGAATTGCTTTTCTTACAACATCCATCACTCCCAGAGACTAGCGCGATTGTTAGCAGACAGCCCCAAAGAGCCTTTCACTGACCAAGTAATGACTGCTATTATGATGATAATATTTTACCTGCTTGCCAGAAAAAAATCATCCCCAAATCCTCAATGCTGACAGTGAGACGGAAGCACCAACAGGTAGCTTTGTTTTTGTTTTCAGAGCTTTTGTGCTGCCAGTTTCTTTCCAAA